CAAATCTAAATCTAAATGTGTGTTTGGACGATAAGGTTGGACTGGATTGGAGATCTCCTATCCAACTCAAACTATCTATCATTGGACTGGTTAAGGTTTAATAGCAATATCCTACTATTTCCAGTGTTTGGATAATACAAGCACTTCGATGGAACCCATGAAGAAGGATAATGAAATATGATACCATTAATTGTTTTGCCCCTAACCTGTCCAAACTAACACCATGTTTAGTTTATAAATTAGCCTTTGACCAATTTCAAACAAATTTTTATTACATGTAATTTTTAAAAACGTTGTAATTTCATATCCTTTAGGCTGGTGTTTATATGTTATGAGAACTATTGAGAATTAACTCAAGCTCTCATTAATTAGTTTTTTCATTATTAGTTGTTAATTAATCTTATTCCAAATAAGATATTACTTTATTAGAGTTAATTTATTATTTAAATTAGTTGTCTTGTTAGAGAATACTATCTTCATCTTCTTAAGGTATGTCAGTAGATCCTTACTTTGACAAAATAAATTTGTTGAAAAAAAATTATATCTATGAAAAAAATAGAAAGAGGAAACGAGGTAGAAGACAGAGAGAGAAGAGAACGAGACAATTCAGTCATTTGCATTAGTTATCCTGTTTGGCAAAAAAAATCTTAGCCCCCCTTGGGTTTCATTTAACCCACGTAGATGGATTAAAGTTGATTTTTCAAATTGGGTTGAGATAAAATTCGAATGGGATTTATGATACATTTTTTACTTACCAAACGTGGGATACATAAGCCCCACATGCATTTTATTCTATTCTACTAGAGTTGTCCCCCTTTTATCCGTGATATAAACATACCCTAAAGGAATATAAAATATAACTATTGAATTTTAAAAATAAAATAAAATCTAACCATTAGTGATTTGAGTAAAAGTTTGAGTCTCCTCGATTTGAGTAAAAATTTGAGTTTCCCATTATTTAATACTATAAGTGTAAGGTGGTGTTTGATAAAACTAAAAATTGAACACTAAAAATTGAATGCTAAATTTTAAGTTCTAAATTCTAAATTTTTTAATTCGCAGACTGCTTGATATCAACTGAACTTTAAGTATTAAATTAAATCAAATTATTTGACAAATATAAGAAGTTAAAGTTTAAAAATTATTATTATTTTAATTTTTTCATTATTTTTTACCATCTCTCTATAACATTCCTACCACCATCATCACAATGGTAGTGGTGGTGATGGTGGTTGTGGTGATGTTGACACAATAGTGGTGGTGATGGCGGCGGCACAATGGTGATGACAATAGTGACGGTGGTAGCACAATGGTAATAATGGCAGCAATGGTGATAGTGACAATGGTGATGGTGACAGTAGTGATGGCACAATAGTAGTGGTAGTGGAAGCGACACAGTGTTGATGGTGACATAATGGTAATGGTGGTAAAGACACAATAGTGGTGACTGTGGCGACAACACAATTGTGGTGATAGTAGATGGTGGGTATTAAAAAGTTAAGAGTATAAAATGCATTGAGGGTTTTCCATTATGAGGAATTGATAAAATTTTTAATAACATTTTTAGCATTGAATGATAAGTAGATGACTTGTTATTTAAATTTTTAGCCTATTTTTAAGAAATACTTAAAATACCAAGTAATATGAGTTTTAAGTTATCAAATGAGTTTAATTCATTAAGTGTTTAAAGTATTTTGTTTTAAGTGGTGTTATCAAACAGATATTAAGTAAAAGTTTGGAGCTTGTTTTTAAACCTCTTTTTACTCTCATTTAAATTTGAGTCAAGTTTTGAATAAGGGTCAAAAATATTCCAAGAATAATAGAAAAGAGAACGATTATGCTGCCAATAAGAGTCGGTCATAACTTGTGTGCCTAGCGGTGGACTGGTCCTTAACCACTTTGACAAACCCACTTTGTTCAATGCATATCAACTTCAAGCTTAACAGTGGCATAAAATGAGAAAAAATGTTGATTTGTGAGAATCTAAATTCACCCCAAAATATGTTTTTTCTGAATTTCTCCCGTGAGGCAGCAGTGGGCAATGCTGCAGGGAGATAGAAGGTCCACGAATCGTAAACTTCTTTTCCTAGAGAAGAAACAATGACAGTATCTAGAGAATAAATATCGGTTCACTCTGTGTCAGCGATCGCAATAATACAAATAATACAATTACAATTTGAAATGATTGGACGTAAATCATCTGCAGGTGACTCTTTAAATTTGTCATCAAATCACTCGAAGCGAATTAAAGTTAAACTACTCATATAAGTAAGTATTTTTTTAAGACATGATATATAATCCATCATCGAAGAAGAAAAAAAAGGACCTTTAAAAGGAATCCAACCCTTGTTCATGAGCACCTTAACATGATCCACCAATCACCATGGAAAAAGGGCCAAGTACAATAGAAATGATACTGTAGAATTCACTATTCCTGTTTTCCATATCCAAATAACGCTCATCGAACAAGTAGCAATTTACTGTATAAATGACGAGGCACCCAGCAATGTATTAGGCAAATTGATGCTATACTTCTTGACATCTTCCCCACCGACTCTCATAATGAGGAGGTAAATTACACCTAAGAGTTCCAAGAAGAATGAAACAGAAATTAGGGTAATGATTGGAAAGTACTAGTCCGAAGGCATACATGAGTGCTCATAATTTTGGTTGATATGATGCCCTCCCTTTGAAGGCATCATATAAAGTGAGTAAAACCTAATGATGACCAGCGTGGATAATCATGTCCCCATTCACTATATTTTACTCGTGTGTCACCTATCCACCAACTTTTATGGATGGATTAGTATGTTTACATCCTAAATTTTAATGAAAATGACCAACACTTTTTAATATTTCGAAAATGATATAGAATTCCCTTATTGAAAAAGTCATTAATGGAATATCCATTTTACCCTTGTGGGTTCAAAAAGTTATTAAAACTTTTGTTCTCAAAACAAATATTGTATAGGGAGATCACTCCAAATGATAAAGAAAATCCGCAACACAATATCATCTAATATATACAGCAATTTTACAAATTAATTTCCTGATTTTTTCAGTTTTATAGTAGACGGCGCTAGAAACTAATTGGTCTAGGTTGTAGAGTAGGATCATATGAAGTCCAATAAATGTATGGATGTGTGAGTGGGTGTATGTGTGTGTGAAGGTGTATACTATGGATGATCAACGACGTAAAGACAGAGTATAAGTGGTTCGTCTTAACTAAGAAATTAATGTTACATTCATTATAAGATAGGTTTTTGCTCCTTGAAGATTGTATTACTTAGAGAAGAAGGTGATCGTTGCAGAAAATTTGACTTGAAGTTGTTACAAGGTATTGCTTGATTCTCTCTAATTAACTTATTTGGTGCTCTCCCCTTTCGTGCCCTATAGTATTTATACTATTGATGGATAGAGTTCCACGTTTTTTCTTCTTGGCTGATCCTATGGTTCCTTATGTTACTGTTTTCATCTTGGTGTTGTGGGCCCTAGAACATTTCTGTGTCCACTACTTATAGTCTGTTATACTTGAATCGTCTCCACTACTTGTGGGTTTCAGTTCATCAGAGCTATTCATGTGTCGTGTTGCAATTTTTACATTCATCTTGTGCCAAGCTTCTATTCGCCGAGCTGATACCCGTACTGAGCTTGTTAATCCCGAATTTCCTTGAAATTGGCTTGCAGTCCACTTTGAGTCCAAGGGACGTTGTTTGAGTGGGCTTCTTGAGGTGCTTCCTGCCAACCCAAAGGATCTTGGGTTCTAAAGGGACGCAGACATTAAATTAGTCATTATCAATAGTCATTCCTTCTGAAAAAAAAAAAAAAGATCTTATTTTGTTGGAATTGAATGTTGTCGGATTTGAATCTTGTAGTCCTAAGCCATTGATCTTGAAATTTAATCAAATGGCTGCTTTTAATGTGATCACCATACAGCAACGTCAATCACTACTCAATGAAATCAAGCGGAGGAAGCACACTAGTGCAATAGTACACAACACTCAAAATTAATTTTTTATTATTTGATTTATTTGGAGAATGAAGATTTAAAAATAAAAAGAAATATCTACTATGCGAAATATTTGTCACTTCACATTTGAGAATAGTCATATATACATAATTTTGCTTGCAAAAATTTATTTTCGTAGATTAAATTCTCATTATCCACGTCATAATAAAATTATCTATATCATTGCTCGCTCGAGATAATAAATTAGAGAGATAAAAAACGAGCGTTGACATGAACTTTTGAAATTTTTGAAACTTTGTTTTACAAAATGGATGCCCTCAAGACAAAATATTGTTGCTAAAATACAACCAATGTCCTATTATACAACCATAGGTGGTTGTTTGACTTGTTAATTAAAAAACCGTGAATAGGGTTTATTAAAATGTTAAAAAATTGGATTAGCGCTTGTTTAAGCTACCATTGTGTCCATACGAAACAATGTAGCTCAGGTGTATTGAATAGTCCTTGTGTACATTATAGAAAGGAAAAGTGGGCCCCATTGCCTTGATAGCTGACCGTTTAGGATCTGATCCATTTGGACCGTTACAAAAAACATTTCAAAAAATTCAAAAAGGTATAATAGTTTCTAGCACTCCAGCTTTTGGTCTCACCACTCCACTTGATACCATTAGAACAAAAAACAAATTTGGGGATGGAGTGAGAAAAGCAATATATGAGTGCTTTTATCACTTTCCTTCAAAACCCCCTCCCCCGCTTTACTGGTAACCGTTAATCTCATAAAATCAACGGCTCAGATTTCTCCCCCATAAACCCCCTGAATCATACCAAGTCTAGATCTTCCCTCTCTTGCTTCTAACCTTCCCTCTCGCTTCAAGACCCTGTTTAGCTTCATCTACCGTACTGTCATTGCAAACTTCCTTTGATTTTCCAACAAATTCTTGGGTTTTCCGGGGAAATTTTTTGAGTTTCTTGCAATCCAATCAGGTCCAGACACTGGGTCTCCAAGAAACGCACGAGGGCATGTTTGGATAGCGAGGTACTAATAGCATGCCAGTGTCAACAAGGTCTCAGATCATCAACAACCCAGGACAGAATGAGCCAAATCAAGACAACAGAACCAGACCCAAGACAGATCAAGAAGAGACCCACATGGCTCACCCATTGAGAAACCCACACCATGGACTGAAAGAGAAAATGAAAGCTTTGACCCTCTTGTATGAGCAGCAAAAACAAGCCTCTGCTTCTGTCAAGGACCCTTCTTTCAAATCCGAAGAGTCAAGATTTTCAACTCATCCGAGCATAGACCTTCTTAGTTCTGGCAAAAGAGCAGAATCAAAACCCAAAGAATCAAAACCCATAAGCCATGTGATGAGAGAGAACATAATGCCTAGTTCCACAGTGACAAGGACTTATGTGTTGCCACAACCACCAGTGGTGGAGGATGCTAAGGAGAACGTGGCCGTGGGCGGTGGTGATCGGATTGTTGGGTTTTCATGTCCAAGAAAGGCTAATATGTCGAGTACTGTGGCGAGAAAGCTCTCAATGGGAAGCTCAGTAGTGCCACAGACAGAGCCAAGAGAGATTGGAGGGACTAACAAGGAGAATGTGCAAGAATTGGATACTATTTCAGAGAAACCGGGTGTTGGTAATAGAATTCTTGTTTTTGTGAGGCTTAGGCCTATGGCCAAGAAGGAGAGAGAAGCTGGATCAAGATGTTGTGTTCGGATTGTCAACAGGGGTGATGTTTACTTGACTGAATTCGCGAGTGAGCACGATTATCTGAGGCTAAAGAGGCTTCGTGGGCGGCATTTTACCTTTGATGCTTCATTTCCTGATTCCACCTCTCAACAGGAAGTCTATTCCATGACGTGAGTTCAAAAGTTTTTCCTTTTCTGTTGGTTTTTTATTTACTCAATTTTATCTTCATTTAAGGAATCTAAACCTATATGTTTGAGTTTTAATTGTAGCATAACCACCCATTACCATGTTGCTGTTTATGTTTAGTTTTAGGATTCCATTTTCTTGAAGGTCAGATTTTGTAGCACAAACTTGGCTCTAAAGTTGTTGCCTCGCCTGAATTTTTTTTTTCCTTTGGCCCCAAAACTATCACACCTGTTTACGTAAAATTTGATGGTAGTTTAAGTCCCTGAGGCAGCTGAAGAATCAAACTCTTCACTGCCCAATTTTTCTGTTCATAAGAAGAGTTTGGGGGATATATGGTTCTCAATTTCGTGTTACAATTCTTATTTACTTTCAATTCTTCATTTTCACATAATAATAATAATTTAATCCAGCTAAATTATATTGTGCATGTGGCTTCAACACCAGTGAACACGGATTAGACTATCCCAGATTCAGTATCATCTCAAGAAGTGAATAGTAACCCCAGCTTTGATTTACTAAGAAAAAAGTTGACCAAACTAAAGGTTTTTATTCCTTTGTCACAGTTCTTAAGTCTTGAATCCTTTCTTCTGGAGATTTGATCTTGCAATTTGACAGTAGGTGCTATCGTAGCTACCCGAGACAAAATAGAAAATCAATTCAAATTCAAGTTGCTATAAAATTGTGCTTTCCATGAATGATAGTTTAGAGCAAATTCTTTTGTGAAAATGAGGAACTTGACGGAATATCATTCATTTTTTCAGAACTGCAGAGCTTGTGGAAGCAGTTTTGCAAGGAAGGAATGGGTCAGTCTTCTGCTATGGTGCCACGGGAGCTGGGAAGACATATACGATGCTTGGTACTGTGGAGAATCCAGGGGTTATGGTATTGGCTATAAAGGATCTTTTCAACAAAGTTAGGCAGAGAAGCTTTGATGGAAACCATGTGGTTCATTTATCCTATCTTGAGGTCTATAACGAAACTGTCAGAGACTTGATTTCCCCTGGCAGGCCTCTAGTACTTAGAGAAGATAAACAGGTCTGTGTCCAATTGTGTGTGATACGTTCTAGGTAGGATTCATGGTAACTTGTTGATGAGAAATTATACCTAAGGTTCTACATCTGTCACATTCAAATTCTTTTCCTAACCGGTAATCAACTTTCATATTGTTTATTGTGACACATTAGTCTTCATATTGGATCAGAGTTGTATGTAATATTTTGGCCAGCTTTAAGAGAAGCGTTTAGCTCACCACATTTATTCCTGCTGTAGCAGCGCAGGAAGAAAAATATTTCCATCAGACTTTCCACCGGGAGAAAAACTTTTGAATGCTAAATCTATCTATCCTAAGTTTTCAGTGTAATTTCTCTGACGATAGAAGCTACAACTTTGTGCAAGTTCTGAAATGTTCAAACATTTCTCTCTCTACCGATACCATACACAGTAGATTTTTCAGTGTGATTTATACCTAACGTATGCACAATTGTATAAAACAGTTTTATCCCCCTCCCCTCTCCCCTCCCATTCTGGATTACACACCTCCCCCTTCCTAAATTCATTTCTTTTGGGTATAGCTGACAGCTAATTGTCACATACATTTCAGGGGATCGTGGCAGCAGGTCTTACTCAATACAGAGCTTATTCTACAGATGAAGTACTTTCCCTACTTAACTCTTCAAATAGCATAGAAAGTTGCAATTTTGTCGATGGAACATAAAATTAAATGTCTGAGAATGTATGACTATTACAGGTAATGGCATTACTTCAACAAGGAAATCAAAATCGGACAACTGAACCAACTCGTGCCAATGAGACTTCTTCACGTTCCCATGCTATTTTGCAGGTAGGTGCAAGGATTCTTTTGCTTTTAAAATCTTCTATCAACCTTATGCTATGCTCAAATGGCTGATTTCTTTCTGAATAGGTTGCGGTTGAATATCAAGTCAAAGATGAGTCGAACAATGTTGTCAATCGAGTGGGAAAGCTGTCACTTATTGACCTTGCTGGTTCAGAGAGAGCTCTTGCTACAGATCAGAGAACACTTAGATCACTTGAGGGGGCTAACATTAATAGGTCACTCCTTGCACTGAGCAGCTGTATTAATGCCCTTGTTGAAGGCAAAAAACATATCCCTTACCGTAATTCGAAACTCACTCAACTGCTAAAGGACTCTCTAGGGGGAGCTTGTAACACTGTAATGATTGCCAATATCAGCCCAAGCAATCTCTCATTTGGCGAAACCCAAAACACCCTTCATTGGGCTGATCGAGCAAAAGAGATCCGAACCAAGGTTCATCTTCCAAGATTCTCAATCTTGCAGCTTCATTCTTTCTCTTTATTGCCTCGGTTAACTTGCTTAAGCTGATACACATTTCACAAGTTCGGAATTTCGTTTGTGCACTCTCACAAATGGTATGACTAATTCTGCTGTAGCTTCAGGTATTCGAAGTGAGAGGACAGATGCATTCTTTCCTATAGCATGTATTGCTTCTTACATTTGCAATGCCTTTATAATATCTAAACTAGAGGTTCTGCCAAACTTTTAGGATCAATTGCCCATAAACTGGTGCTAGAAATTCCTGAAGTTTTTGCGATTTTAGCACTATGGCTTCCCTTCTCTTTTTTGCTTTAGCAGTGCATTATAGTATCTTTTCTTTTCTTATTTGAGTATCCGGCCTAACTTTTCAACCCCCCCCCCCCAAAAAAAAAAAACAAATAAAAAGTAATCCTTGTAATTCCTGAAGTAGTTTATATGATTTTTACCAACATGATGCAAACGGGGAAATCTTGCTATATTCCCTTCTATCTTTTACTGTTGCAGGCATGTCATGCAAACGAGGAAACAATGCAAATACCCCAATCTGAAACAGAACAAGCTAAGCTATTACTTGAGTTGCAGAAAGAGAATCGTGATTTGAGAATACAATTGGCTCGCCAGCAACAAAAGCTTTTAAGTTTCCAAGCAAATGCCTTGACAGCAAATGCCTCACCAGCACCTTCAACAGTTTCCTCTGTCTTATCTCCTCCTCCATCTTCTGGCCTGCCAAAAGATAAACGAAAGCCTAGATCCACCTTCTTGGCTGGGAATTGTTTCACACCAGAAACAAAGAAAAAAGGTGCAGAAGAGACAGGTAAAGGGCTCAGGCAGACCGTGAAAGCATTGGAGGCAGAAATTGAGAAAATGAAGAAGGAACATGCATCACAGATAAAGCAGAAGGACGATTTTATTCGTGAACTTTCACGAAAAGTTTCCAAAGTAGCAGGAGTGGAAGGGGAAGGGTTGAAGAGGGTTGTCACCAGGGCGAGCTTGCGGCCAAAGGAGCCACTTGGGGCTGAGTTGAAGAGCCCAAGTCATCGGTTCTTGTCTCCTGCACCCACAGCTAAAAAACGGAGCTTTTGGGATATAACAACAGTTAACAGCCCATCAATTGCCACATTAAATGGAAGAAAAACCAGAAGCCATGTTGCTAATGAACCTGCAGCAGCTCCCTCCATGCTTCTTCAGGTGGAGTAATACATTCCCTCTTGCCTTCTTTCCTCTTTGAAAATTGATGTGCATGTTCAAAGTCTTTGTGCATGCAATCTTATGAACATGCATATGAGTAAACATGTATATAAAATGACAGTTCAAAAAGGACAATGATTTAGAGTGTCCTCTTCAAAAATTCCCTTCCCCGTGAAAAATTTTCTTGGACATCTCGGCTCTCAGGCTCTTGTTTATATTTTAATTATGCTTTTGAATTCCTTTCTTCTGTGACTGATTGAGCTTGCATGTCCATGTTTCTGGTTTGTGTTCATATTTGGACCCCATGTCATCAATTACATCGTTCAGCCAGGTTTTGCTCGTCAAAGGGCCTGAACGTTGAAGCAATTAAAGAGGAAGTGAAGAAAGCATAGAGTTTAAACCAGAAGCGATGGGAACAAAACGTGGTGCCTGCTCACGGCTTTTCTTCCTTGCGACATTCTCTCTGCTCTGGCTGGTCGATTGACTGGAAGAAAGACTTAACTTGGTTAGTGGTATCCTGTTTTCACTGAATTTGTTTCATATAATTAACCATGCCCATATAGGGAGATTGTGTAGCGTCTTATATCATTCAATTATATTTTGATGTAGACGATATTCTCAGCAGCATGTAGATCCCATGAGCTAATCTTTCTAACAGAGTTTAATTCCCAATTGTTGGGCCGATTTGAGAACACATGATGATTGAAGCTGTATTATTTCATTTGTTTTGTTTTTTCTATCCCAGCATTTAACAGTCTTCTCTCTCTCTCTCTAACTATTGAACCAAGGGTGATTCTATATAGAAGGAAATGAATTCAATTATATGGTTGCTGGCTTATGGTTGTTTTTGCAGCTAATATGAGAAACTATCAGGTTAAATTTATGGGAACTTTGCTGGTAAGTCTTGTTTGAGATGGTATCCTTTGGGCCTGGTTTGGGCATAGAAAACTTGAATTTTAGAACATAGTGATGTTTGCTTGAGGTTGTCCCTTTTGGACTAGTTTCAACTCTACAACTCCTGAGGTTTGAAAATATATTCATTTCTTTGCCTCTAGAAGAGCATGGATTAAGATACTATGAAACCAGTTTGGTTTGAGTTTGGTAGATAACAATCAGAAAATAGTCCTCTCCCTGTTATGAAACAAATGCAATAAACTCCTGTAGCTAGAAGGCTTTATGTTATGAACTTAGCTAGAAGGTTTGTTCATAACACATCTGCATACGGTGTGGATAATGTAGCACGTACGCATATGTGGTTGTTTTTTTCTCTAATTTGTAACAGGAAACGGTTTCTACCTGTCACGCCCCAATTTCGCAACAGACGTGATCAAATTAGAAATCTTTTAGTTCAAGATTAACCTGTGATAGCATCTATAGCTGTCTAACAAATCATTAATCTCTACGAATTTAAATCACAAATAACATCCACTTCATCTAACTAAAAATTCCAAAAATAAAAATCAATCATTAGGGGTCTACATCCAAAATTCCCAAGCAAAATAATTGATTCTTTTAAGCTAATTAAAACTCATGAATCTTTTTAATAAAATAATTTGTAAATTAACTAAGTATCATCTCCTCAAGCTTTAGCTTCTTGATCAATATTAGGGTCAAAGTCAACATCTAATCTTATCTCATTCTCCCTACTCATATATGAAAAAAAAAACGTTAAATATAGTGGTGGGCACAACTAGCTCTATAGAAAAAATTTTCCAAACTTAAACCAGTTTTACAAATATATAAAAACAAGTAAATCTCAAATTTACAAAATAAACAAATATAACCTTTGAAATAAATCATCTCACCTTAATAACGATCTAATGTTTTGATACGAGTACAGAAATTTCATTCTGTAATGGATTATTTAGAGAATAAACAGTTTGTGATAGAAAAATCTAATGTATGCAGGTTATTTATTAAGAATTCAAACACCAAATATATCTAGTCCATCCTGCACAAAAAACAAACTATCCAATCAATTCCAGGCCGCATTGTTTTAAGAAGTGTGTATACTAACACATCAGTATTTAACGAACTCTTTCCAAAATTTGTATATGAACCGGTTACTCAGCCTCGAATTTAGGTGAACTAATTGTGATTTGGAACCTTGCAAGCAACCAACATCTCACTATGACTGATAAGGAATTTTCAAACCCCTCGAGGTAAAAAAAAATATCTACACACTTTACGATAGAAGTTCAAGTTCATTCGAGTTCATTAAGCAAAAGAATTCTTAAATCATGTTTTTTAAACAGATCACCTATACCATATACAACAGTTTTAACAATTCTTAAAGCAAGGGAATTTCAGTAAACACATGCATGAGATCGCAAAGAGACATTCTCAATTTGTGTCCGGACACAAGTAACTTACTGTCCAAACTTCTAGCCCAGTTTTGACCTAGTTAGAGGTCGATTCACAAAATTTTCATGAAAATGCACTTTTGTAGAACATGAATCCTTCTTTCCAATACCAGAAGAATCCGTTCAATCAAATGTGGGGGTAAAAAGTTATGGCCAAAATATTGAAGTAGTGTCAAATTCTTTCCTTCCCAAATTTTCTCCAAAATATATATATTTTTTCTTTTTAAATTTTTTTTTTGGGGGAGGGGGAGGGGAATTTAAATGCGTGATCTCAAGAAAGCAAAACCTTCACAAGGTAAGGAGTACCATTGGACTAAAGACCTGTTAGTTCCAAAAAATTTTCAGCCGCAGAATACCTCCAAACTTCTTTTCTTCAACTTGAAACTTCTACCTTCTTAAGTGATTTGGAGCATTTGAGATTGACGTTCAATTACTAATATCTCATTTAATAACCATTTTTTATCTTCTACAAATAAATTACCCGAACATCAAAATTACCATTTACCCCCCCCCCCCCCCCCCCCCCCCACCCAAAACAGCTATACAAAGTGAATGTCTATGTACCAAGGTTTCTCAACCTCTCAAATTCAATGACAACATTATTTTTCCTTAAAAGCTTTTATAAACTTACCTATATATCTTTTTCAAGCTTAAATGTTCTGAAACTCAATTTAACCTCAAAAGTCAATTCCCATGAAACTCAAACTTGACACTTATTCTTTCCACAATGAGTCAAAATTCCTATAAGCATTTTAGTTATTTTATAAGAACTCTTCAGATAGTATTAGCCATATTTATATATAGTACATGATCTTACACAACCACGTGCCTTTTTTTTTTTTTTTTGATAAGAAACAAGATTCTTGTATTACTTACAAATGATAAAGTACATCAGAAAAGATTGTTTAAGAAATCCAACCAATATTGGGATAAAAAAAAAAGAAAAACAAAGAAATAATAAAAGGCAACCTATAAATCACTCGAAGCTCGCCATCCCGCTTGAAAAACAAAAACAAAAACAAAATTCCTTTGAAAGTCTTTGAAATCAATGACCAAAAAGATGTTAAGAAGACTATCCCATAATCCATTCACACTCATTTCGGTCTTCAAAATTCTAGTGCTACGTTCCTTCCAAATAACCCAAAAAATATTAACGATGACCCAGTTACAAAGAGTAACATCTCTATCAAATCTCCTAAATCTTTTCATAACTTCTACAGATAATGAGGCAGATGTAGTGGGAATCTTATTTACACTAGGGGTAAACTCAGCCAAAAATTAAGCGTTCACTTGCCCCTTAGTCACAGTTTGTGGTTCGAAATTGGCATCATACTCGCTGAGCTTCACCCCCCATCTAGATATTCTACCCGATAGGTCAACTCTTCTAAATAGGGCCTTAAAGGCTATTCAGTCAAAATTATGATCATATGATCTTGGAGGTAATGCCTTAATTTCTGAGCCATAATGACCAAAGCTAGGGCTAATTTTTCCCAAGATAAGTACCTCATTCCTGCGTCGAGGAAGGTTTTATTGATGTAGTACATTGGCTTCATTTCCTTATTGGATTTCTTCATGAGCACCCTACTTACCCTATGCTTAGAGACAACTAGATACAAATCAAGTTGTTCTCCTTATTCAGAAGTTGATAGGAGTGATGATTCTTCTAGTTATGACTTTAGATTCTTCTAGTTATGACTTTAGATTCTTCAAGTCTTCCTCGCACTCCTAAGTCCATACTCCGTCCTCGTTCTGGTTCAGTGCTTGGAAAAATGGTTTGCACTTTTTGAATGACTTAGATGTGAATCTGTTGAGCGCAACAACTATCTCGGATAACCTCTGCATCTCCTTCACTGTCCTTAGGGGTTGGAGCTCAATCAGGGTTGGTTAGGGTTGACTTTGATCCCTCTTTTAGTGACCAAAAAACCCAAACATTACCTTGAGCGAATGCCAAAGGCACATTTTAAAGCGTTAAGGCTTATCTTGTACTCCCATAGTACGTCAAAGGTCTTTTGCAAATCTACTAGGTGGTTAGATGTTTTGTGGCTCTTGACTAGCATGTTGTCTACATAGACTTCCATAATTTTTCTGAGCATTCCCTTGAATTTTTGGGTAACTCGCCTCTGATTAGTTGCTCACGCGTTCTTGAGTCCTAAAGACATTACTTTGTAACAGTACCCCTTGTGGTGTGATAAAGCAAGTCTTCTCCTGATTCGACTCGAAAAGGTGGATATCATGGTAGCCCCTATAGGTGTTGAGGAAATAAATTCACTCATGCTCAAATGTCACATCGAGCATATATCTTTCTAGCAGAATATATCTTTCTTAGAAGGTTTTAGTGGAATATGTCTTTCTAGTGTGAACTTCGGTTGAAACTTTGGTTTGGGAGAGCCTAACTGATCTCAAACATCCCCTTTTCTCTTGGGAGATCGATCTTGACTCTCGTTGGGACTTGGCTATTTTGTTTGCTTGCCTCCGTGTTACTTTGACACAACTAAAGAGCTTTATCTAGCTTGGAGGACTTCTTCCCCAATAATATACTTTTGTGTTTTGGGCAGTACCTCGTCCATGTTGGCATGCATGTTTTTAGAGACTGAAAAAGGAATTCAGAGGCTTAGAGTCCATCAATAAATACTGTTAAGGACCTGGAGGTGCTCGCACCGATGAATTGAGAAATGAACTGCATGGACAACTCTTTGAAAGAGGAGATTGAAGATGGTAGCAACTTGTTGTACCAAGTCAGTGTTATGCCTTTCAGCGTGATTGCGAAGGCCCTACACCGAATATGGTCCTAATACCCATGAAGCTCCATTTGGTTCTTTTAATTGTTTAGGTGTTCAAATGGATCTCTAGTTCAATCAAACGCCTCAATTTGGGGCATCTTGACTATTTTTGCTGGACCAGGGCCTCCATGGAAACAGGACCTCGATGGAAATCAAACCTCGATTCTTCATAATGTTTCTCACATAGCCCAACTCATTTTGGACTTCCCTGATGTGGTCTCTTCCCAATATTGGTTCAGAGGGGTTCTAAAAAGGAGGAGATGGAGGGTCGTGCCTCCTTTCTCCCCTAGATCTGCTTTGTGCCTCGTCCTCACACTCTGTCTGAGCTTGACACTAATGAACATTTGCCCCAGAGGGGCTTCGACAGTCCTCCTCAGTGACCCCATTCAGAGATTGTGGAGGAAGCAGAGGATTCTGAGGATTTAAAGGATGTTAGGCAGTGAGAAGGGCAATGATTTCATAGCTTTGCCTGAGAAGGAGAAACATAGTTTCCTAATAGGTTTCAAGTTCTTCTACCAAAGGCGGATTCTATGGAGGAGCTGTTGGTGGAGGATTTCATTGTTTGTTTTTTGGGTTTTACCTCATAGTTCTCGTTCGAACCATCAATCAAACAGAGCTTATGTAGTTTCAGAGTAGAACGATGACAATCATTTCCCTTGATGG